CTTTGAGAGAATACAAGGCTCCGGGGTGACCTTAGGGCAGCTGCCAGGACCTGAAGGGGCCTACAGGAATGATGGAGAGGGGCTTTTCCCAAGGGTGTGTAGTGATAGGACAAGGGGGAATGGCTGTAAACTGAAAGAGGGCAAATTTAGATTAGATAGTAGGAAGAATTTCTTCACCATGAGGGTGGTGAGACACTGGCACAGATTTCCCAGAGAAGCTGTGGCTGCCCCCTCCCTGGAAGTGTTCAAGGACAGGTTGGATGAGCTCTGAGCAACCTGGTCTGGTGGAAGGTGTCCCTGATTATGGCAGGGGGGCTGGAACCAGATGATCTGTAAGGTCCCTTCCAACCCCTGCCACTCTATGATTCTATGATTTAACCTTCCCACGCATATGTACAGACATCTAACCACTCAGAGAAATTTCACGAGTAGGAAGAAAATTTTACACTGATGAAGCATTTCTCAATTGTAACACAAGTTACACTACGACATTTCTTCCACCAGTGATGTTTCTGCAGGGACAGGACAGAAAGCAGCCCCTCAGACAGGCACACCTGATGAGAAAGGGGAAGGGGCAGAGCAGATGGGCTGCAGCAGAGGTCTGGGGAGGGATCAGGCTAAAGCACGTCACTCCAGGCCAGGCACACTCATTTCCTGGCCCCCACTCTTGGCAGGGCTACAAATCTCACCTCTGGATTACCAAGCATTAGTGAAACAAGACCTTTCCTTGGTATTAGAGGTCAGAAATAAATCTCACTTTAAAAGCAAACAGATCTAATGAATCAGCTTTCAGTACTATGGTGTCTTGCTTTGCAGAGTCCTAAGGACAGAGACTGAACACCACAAACCTTCTGTATCTGTTCCACTGTTCTGCTACCAAAGCAAAATCTGTCTGCTGCCTCTTGGGCCAGATTTCAGATCTCTTCACCTACAGACAGTAAGCCAACAGAATTTTCTTACAGAAACTCTCAAGAGGTCTAACTCCCGCACATTCAATCCCGCTACTGATTTACCTTGTTTCTTTACTTGTTCCAGAAGCAGGTCCTTCATGGCTGCTTCCTCTGCGATGTCGGACGGGACTTCACCTTCGCTGTTCACAGTGGCCACATTGGCTCCATGACTAATTAAGTACCTACGTGAACGAGAGCCATACCGACGTCTTAGACCTCGTGTGCAGGTTTCGGTGCAGCTTATACAGTAAATCAAGTAGCAGAACAAAATACTAGGCATTCTCATTCAAGTTCAATTACCAAACGAGTACCTTATTCTCACCAAATTTCTAGACTACAAAAGTTCTTTGTCATATACAAGGCCCCTGGTCAGTGGCTCATAGTTGCTGTTTCTCTACAGTTACTCAAATATCTCTAGTTCTTGTACTAATCTGATCGATGATGCTTTTTTTAAAAAAATAAATAATCATAATTAATAAAAATAATGTAAGCCATCACCAACTTTTAAGCTTTTTTTTATAACTATATCAAAAGTTTATTCAAGAACAACTGATGTCTCCTTCGGCTTGTGCATCTCGTAACCAGTAAAATTCTGGGAAGTAAAAGAAATATCTGTTTAAACACACAAACCTAGGAGGGCGAGGATGCTCGGTTTTAAAATTTATTTTCAGTGTCTTTGAGAAATAGCAATCAGTATTCATATTTTGGTAACTTTTTGGTAGCTGTGGTAAACTAAATATACAAGCATGGTATGACTGGTAAAGAGTAATAATATTTTTCATTTGAAGAACAAGTATTTGGGGAAAAAAAAAAATGGACTGACAAAGGATCATCCAAATAGCTAAGGATTGTTTCAGGAGGATTACAACACACACAAATACATGAGCCACAGAAGTTTTTTTGTTTGTTTGTTTGAATATATTGTAGAGCACTATCTTGAGAAGTACTATTGTTTTCCCTTATTCTTCTAAGCTACAATGCAGCCTTTATCTCTGAAAAATTAGTTAAGTTGGGAAACTACCATTTACGCTTGCCTGTTCCTTGGTTCCAGTTGTTCTAGCACTCCAGCTCACGTATTTGAGCAACTTTCAAATTCTCAGAGCAACTTGCTGGTGTACAACAAGCAGTCTGGTATCGGTACCCTCTCCGGGACAAACGGACTGTTAGTCCTTTGGGAGTGTAATGAACGCTCAGATCAGGCGCAGAACGTTCTTTCAAACCCTGGAGTAAGCAACTGTGCCAAGAAGACTCAAATCTTTGCTGGGAGTTGCCCATAGCAGGTTACTGCTTTGCTTTAAACATCTACTGGACAAAACTCTGTTATATTTACTGTGTCTTTTCATATGTATTTTATGTCTGTACTCAATAGATTCTCTAATCTCTCTATGGCAGGCCACAGAATTTCACCTGGTTATGTCCAAACGGAGCCCAGTATCTTGTGTTATAAATAAACAAAAAAGAAAAGATAATGCTCTAATTGTAAGTGGGCTAAAGTAACACGCAGTTACTTTTATCTACTTCCCCATCTTTTGTCAGAGTGTGCCAGAAACAGAAACGTAACATCTGAATTTGAAGAAAAAGAAACCATGCTGCTGGCTTACTGGTGACTGTGGAGCCCCGAACACTGCATTTCTCTCTCAACAGTCTCCACACAACTGCAGCACTGCTCACAAAGTCCCGTCCACAGCAAGAAAACGTAGTCGCTTTGCAAGCCTCAGAACAGGGGTAAGCATTGGTGCAGGCCCCCTTTGAACTGTTTTGTAGTACGCCATGTATCTACTAGGGGTTTACACCAGCATAGCCATAGGCATGTCGTTACACTCACACGTTTTGTACAGAAACAGAATTCGGTGAGAGGAATAAAATCCCCAGTCGCTCTTAGGTACCACTTCAGCGTTCGAGCTGGGCTCCCCGCTGACGGAAGCGCCAAAGACAGTCGGCAGCCGCAGAGCAGTGCTTCATCACGCGTCTCCGTAGTCGTGTGCCTGCCCGCCAGCCATCGTGTTTCCCTTTTGCTTGGTATTTTACCTGAAGTACCTCATGAATCACCAGTCACCGCAATGGGATCAGCAAACGGCAACCAGTTGCAGGCTCTGCCTTAAGCCCCACAAATTAAGAGCACAGGAACAGGAGACATGCATCTGTTTTCAGCATTGCCTCCCCAGATGTACAAATCTCAGAGCATCAACCGCCTGCGTACCTGCTCCGAAAAGGAAGATGTGGAAAGTGTTCCAAATACCCAGAATAGCCTGAAACTCACTCACTCTGCTATGTTCAGATAGCCACACGATGCCACCGCATGCAGAGGGGTCCAGCCCTCGTTATCTTGCTGGTTCACATTGGCTCCGTTTTCTACAAGGAACTTCACCATGTCCAGGTTCTCATCTATGCAGGCCTGAGGGAGAAGGGGAGGGGGGACATCCAGGGGAGGGGAGGGTTGAAGAGAAAAGGAAGAAGAAAAAAAGGTGTTGGTGTTAAATCCAGTGTACAACCTCCATTTGCAGTTTACTGGCAGCAGGTAACTCCCGGGCTGAATTTCCCACACCGTGAGCTAGCACACCTTAAAACTTAAGGTAGCATGGATTTGTGAACTAAAAGAAATTAATTTCCGAACTTTCAGAAATTAATTGTAACTCATAGAATCCCCAGGTAGACAACCTCTAAATGTGCTCAAGCTTTACTTCTCACCAACTGATCTGTTTCCTTCCTCTCTCCCACACTGTTCTCTCCCCGGAGCGAGGACGCACTGTAAAACGATACATCTGTATTAGTTCTGGGTATGGCATCAAATTCCTCTAACCAAGGCAAGCCACGGATTTATTGAGATTAGGTTGTTCCCTCAAATGTCAATGAAATAACGTTGTAACAACGAACGCAATGAGCTCTCGCTAGTGGCAGGGATGAGCAGGGAAAGCCTGAGCTCAGGACGCCTGACTGCAGCAGGCCATCCGTACACTGGATGTTGCCCTTTACAGCGGTAACCATAGCAAAAGCAGAATTTTAGAGCAGTTAACTTCTTTATTCAGCAGTATCTATGCATTTTCCCCCGAGTATAACAACATACAGCTTTCCCTGTTAGCTCTACAGGCCATCTGTAGCTACTGCAGAGAACGACAACCCTTTATTAGCCGCCGTATTAATCCCAGAGCCTGCATTTACAGAGACCTGCCAGCTTTGAAGTTGCCAGAAGAAAACCTAGCTAGATTTTCAAGTCTCAGCAGTTCTGTTGGGTGGAATTCCTCCTTCCTCAAATTCCTGGCTACAGCACGTTCTGCACTGCATTTACATTCACTGGAGGCTGCTATTTAAGGATGAGCTGGCAATTTAATACATACGTACAACTGCATGTGCCTCAGCTGAGAAGCACCAAGCACGTCCAGGAGGAGAAAGGACTGGCTTTGACTGCGTGTCCATCTACAGGCAGAAGCCCGGTCCCCCATTACTAGAGAGGGAATCAGCTTGGTTGAAATTCCTCCAAAATCTCAGCATTGGATCCTTTCTCACAGCTTGACGTGGGCATATCTATCAGTTACGGCAGTCAGATGACTTCCAGATGGTTGATCTTCTAAAACAAGCAACACCGACTATCCATTCCTACCCTAGCAAGTAATGGAAATGAGGAAATTGTCTCTAACCAACATCCCCCTCCCCTCCAGAAGAGACAATCTTGTATTACCTAACACGCTCACCTACTTTGCATGGTTTATTTCCAAGGAGAGCTCCTACACCAGGACATTCAACTCGTTTGGGATTTGCACTTGCAGTAGAAATAACTACCCTTTTACCCGGCAAACACAAGTTACTCCTACATTCGGCTGGTTCACAAGCAGCCATGCAAAAGACCAGCTTTTAAATCTCTAAGGAAGCACGCTCCTGAAAACCAACTCCTAGTACAGTTACCTGGCAAACACAAGAGCACACAGGGTGCACCTACGGCACAAGGATGCCCCAGGAGCAGACTCCAGCACCCAAGCCCCAGCCGAGCCTATGCTGAAGTGTTACCATGCTTCCCAGCCCCGTTTTAGACTGCTTTACCTTAATCTTTGCCAGACAAGCACAAGCATAAATCTCGAACTAGTTTACTTCAGGGGCTGTTCCAAACCCAGAATGGATGAGGCTGCTCCTGGGTTGGCTTTGTCCACTCTGCTCGGTCCATCAACATCCTCCCACCCTCAACCACAAAACAGCTTCATCCTGTAAACCCAGCTTGGGGGGCCTTCCCTTGGATCATTCCAGGCAGTAGAACAGGAGAAAACCCAACAACCCAAAACAAAAATCTTGGGGACTGAAGAGCATCACACTGAGCTTGGAGGAGTCCCAGGTCCAAGCACGACGGGGTAAGAAAGGGTTAGGTCTGAGCAAGGTGGATGCAAACCAGGTTCTACCACCAGCCTCAGGAGCAAGGTTTGTTCCTTGGGTTTCCTTTGTTGAGATCATCTGGTCCAACTCAAAGCAGGGCTAAATCTGAGGTTAGCTCAGGTTGCTCGGGGCATGCTCCACCCAGTTTTTACTGTCTGCAAGAATGGAGACTCCACGGCCAGGCTGGGCCCCTGTCCCCGTGGGTAATTTTTCTTGCTATCTAATCAGGATTTTTCTTGCTGCAGCTGTGCCTCCTGCTGCAGTAGTACCGATGCACCCTCGCCATCTCCACAGGTGATGAGAGCAGGAAGCACAAGCCAAACATTCCTGTGGTACATGGGAACTGATGTGCGCCCAATATGCACATGATTAATTTTAAGAAGGGGTACAATCCTGATTTCCATAAACCAGCAAACTACGCAGACAATTCTGTTAGTGGCTTATGTCCATAACGATGCACTGAAGGGTAGTAGGAAAGTAAAGTATGCAGCACATACAGAGGTGGACATATATAAATAGAGGAACATAATAATCTTTTCTCAGTTCAAGGAGCATTTTTTTGGGAATTAAAGTCTGAGCCTGCAAAACTCAGAGCTAATCTATATTTCATAGCCACCCATATTTGTGACATACTTCAAGTTTTTCCCCCCAACACATCTCAAATAAATTGCACTTAATCTTGTTGATGAGATATTTACATTTTGACCTGGGAACACAACCGTTACACACCACTTCTTAAATAAAACTGACTCTGTCTAAAAGCACGTTGCTCCAAGAATAGCCAAGAAAAGCTTGCCCACACCATGGTTTCTTTAGAGCACAATCTCTTCTAGCTGACTACAGAATTATAGCCTCAAAGAAGAATTTTATCAGTGTGGCTCTGACAAAGCAGTGAGGTAGACGTTTCACGCCTGTGCATACTTACTGCTCTGCTGTATTTGAGTATTACCTGCAGCTTGAGTGCAATCTAAATTTAGACTCAAGAATGTCTCTATATTGTGAGCTTCATATGTATGTGATAGAGAACTATATTTACATTGTTTATCATTTAAGCCACCCAAATACACCCACTACATCTGCACATACTGGCAATCAGCCAAGAGAAAAGACCAGTTCCTGCTCAAGCCACTGGATATACTGGACTCTAAAATTAAACATCCCTTTAGATGCATAAAAGAGCCCCCTTGCCCCTTCTTTTAGATTTCTGCCTGTTACTGGCCTCGTTGTTCTGCTGGTGCCCATGCTGCATGGTTCCCATGGAATGCACGCTAGCACCAGCAGGGATAATGGGATCAAACCCCACCTGTTCCTACACAGAAATCTGCCGTAATTTGACTCGCCTGGCTGCTGAAGAGATGCAACGATGACAAAGTGACAAAGCTACATGGGTGCTGACAACAGCAGGCATTCGCTCGCTTCCGCAGGGGAGCCGTCACGCGTCTCATCCTCGTCGTTCGCATTTGCCACGAAGACAAAGTCAAGCGCAAAGGCGTATCAAGTCCTTAACGGTGCACCAATGTATTCCTCTATACCCAAGAAAAATAACCCTCATTCCACGCTTCTGCCCCCACGTAGCATGAAAAACTGCTGTTCGAGTTACGGGATCAAGCAAGGTGCCACTGCCTGGCCAGTACTTCTTTTGGTATTACTTGGTGACACATAAGAATAGAAATGAGCACAGAGCTGACCAATATGAATGGTTTTTTCAAATGACCTGAGGCTGCATTAGCAGGTATGACTTCTTGCTTGCCTCAAATATCAAAATGCAACAATTTTTTGCATTTTTGTAGTATTATATAATTATATTGGCCATGATTTTAAAAAGGGAGGTGAGAAGGAGTTTCAGAAAACAGCATTCCACAAATAGAGGCACTGTTCATGCTATGACATATTTAACACACCTTGGAGCGACAATTATGAGGCCAACAATTGGGATAATGAACAAAAATGGGAATTTCTAAAGATCTTCCAAAGTTTAAGAACTTTAGAAAAGCATGTATAAAAGTTATGGCAGAAGAAATGGCAGCTTTTAGAGGCTGCATTGTATTTCTGTGTACATTTTTAAAGCAGCAACTGATTAACACTTCCATGTGGTCACATAATTCATATTTGCACACACACAGTATTAATAGTTTCATACATGATACTCTTTTTAGCAAGCTATAAACCAAAGAAGAGAAATTCTCACTGTTTAGAAGTACTCAGGGCACACGCTTTCCCACCTAAAATTTTTGAGAGCCCTGACTGCCGATACCCCTCCAGAAAATTTCTGCTGCATGTTTTGTTGTGCACATCAGCCAGAATTCAGCACTGCTAAACACCACGTAACAAAACGTATTCACTGAGATTTCGAGGGGAACGTTCATCTTCTGGCTAAGTAAAATGGGTTCCCTGAGGCTACTGGAGGAAGGAGAAGAGGACAAAGAGGAAATAAAAGGGGTAGATGTGTCTTCCTGTAAGGACTATTAATCCTCCGACCTTAGATTTAGGAGAGTGGATAAGCTGAGTAACCTGAGCGGGTCGATCACTATGCCAAGTTCCCCCCTTTTCTGACCTTAGATTTAGGAGAGTGGATAAACTGAGTAACCTGAGCGGATCGATCACTATGCCAAGTTCCCCCCTTTTCTTTGATACGGGGTTCCTTGGGAACACTGTAAGAACAACGACGTCGGACAGCAGTATTACAGAGCAGACACCTGCCCCTCCAACCACCAAGGAAGGAAAGAAAGTAAAAAAATGCTGGTGAAGGAGTAACACTGCCTTTTCGGTGGGGAGTTATTTAATGTGAGGAAACACTCCCTCCCCTTAACTGTCCTTGAGATTTGCTTCGTGGAAAGAGAAAGAGTGAAGCGTATAGGCTTATTTCTTTCAATTTTAGGCCCAGCTATCCCTCAGCTGCTTGGTCACACATGTAGACCAGGCTAATAGCAAGGTTAACTAGAGAGCACAGCATTTTTGTCTCTGAATTTTTAATTCCTCCTTTATATTCTTTCTCTGTAGGGGACACAATACAACCTCCAAGGCAATGTGACAGGGCAGAGTATGCGGTGACTATCTTTTGCTCTAACCGGAGATCTTCAGCAGGCTAATCTCTTGCCATCCTTGTATTTTTCTTGGCAGTTGGCAGCTCCAAGTGCTTCTGGAACGGCATTACCGTATTACAGTTCTAGCAGTCTTTGATGCAAACTGCATCCAGTGCCCAGAATTACCCATGAACTGCTCAAAGAAAGTTGGCTCACACGATTTCAATCCCGGGCATCGCTGGGCAAGCCTCCATCCACAGCTCACGGTGTTCCTTCGGCTCCTGGCAGGAGACCAGCATTCAGCAGTTTTTCCATAGGGAGGAAGTGCTCAGTTTCTAAAATTTGCAGATATGGCATATGAGCTTCCCCCTCCTGGATAACAGGTGTAGCTCTTTACAGCCAGGGACACTCACTGCATATTTTTTTTTTTGCCAGTAGCTATTGCCAAGGCATTCTTCTTTCAAGCATGAAGTTTACATTACAATAATGAAACGGGGGACACCAGGAAACGTTACAGAACAACTCTGCAAAACTCCGCTCATCTGGCAAGGCCTGTTCAACTGCCAGACAAAATCTGATCTTTATCTTGAATGAAACCTCATTATTACAATAGTATTGTTAGTGTTCACTCCTTCCTCAGAGCATGCAGAATATACAAGCGCCGCAGAACTTCTGAGGAGCATCAGCAACGCAATAGCTCCAGCTGCCTGCCACGGCTTTTGGTTTGCGTATCTCCTGGGCATCCCCCACAGGACAGAGACAGGAAGATCAGGGAGTAATGGGAGCCAGATGGGATTAGACTGTAGGGTTCAGAGGGCCAAGAATCAAGCTCCAACAAGATGTAAACAGTATAACACTGCTCACTTTCAGGGGTGCATCACATTCAGCAAACCCCCAGCCTACAACTGGTGTTACATTCCCACTACATACAGGATAGCAGGGAGGAGGGCAACTAAACCACCTGGTAAATTGCTAAGATACTGCTTGGGATCAGCTGAGTGAGGAAAAAAAAAATAACAAACACCACCTTTTTGCCTCTACTTGGAGAAAGGGGGCTGGTTATAAACCCAGCAGAACACAGAACCTGTGGCAACAACTGTACATCAGCGGTGCTGTCACAGGCACCTACATCAAGGCAACCGTTTTCTCCACAACTTACCCAGAATTCTGGCAGTTTAACATAAATATCTCACCAACATCCAGCGCAACTGTTTCCAGGCAGCACAGTTCTCGTCACCGTTTCAGCGTTACAGCCCCGCAGCGGCACGGGCACTCCAGCTGCCGGCGACCTGCACAACGCGGCAGCGCTGCGTACAGCGGCGCACCCGAAAAGGGTGAACTTGGCTGAGAGCATATTGCATTTCTAAATGCAGCCCCATTGAGTAAATATTTAGTTTACAAACAGTATGTCACATCACCCAGCGTCATCTGATCATGTAATAAAATAGCAGCAGTGCGCACACAAGAGCTTGGAATCAAAGTCAGCCCAGAAACCTGTAATAACTGCTGCGGTTTTAGTTTTGGCTATATTTAATTCCCTGGTGCTCCCTCCTTGGTTGGTCGGGATTTGAGAGGGAGAACTTACGCACTTTCTCAAGGCAGAGGAAAGGTGCAAGAAGGGAAAAGAGGAAAGGGCTACATGCCTGGCTTCCGTGTTACGTGTTTCTAGTATGAACACATCGGTCTTGTGACAGAAAACTATCCTCTGTGCAGAAGAGTGAAAATCTCGTAATCCTACTGTGTCTGATTCTTGGGTAGCAATCCTCATGGTTCCCACATAGAAACCATACTTGGCAGCTCCACTTGTCACACGTAAATACAAAACGTAAACTAGCCTGTCAGACACATGCCGGCTTTTTTAATCCAGTATTAGAGACGTCAGGCCAGTAAAGGCCACGCTTCATATCTTCTTAGTTACTTCAGTATTCATTTCTTGAGCCTCTCAGGAGTATGGTGCCTCTTGGCCTGTTCAGAATGCTGCTGCCAAATGAGATTGCTCAAGAAATCCCCATCATTAATTCTTTTCCCAGATTCTCCTCCAATCCAGAAATCAAGTGTTGACACCATCACCACAGCCCTTCACACACCCAGCCCTCCCCTGACACGGTTTGTCTGCCTCTGCTCCGTCACTGATCCCCATTTCTCTAACTCTTCAGCCAGAGCATTAACAGACACCTCAGACTCTGCATACAACCCTACCGCCATGGTATGGCATTCTGGCACTGATATTCAGGACCCTTCTCCACACGTCAGTTTGCTCCATTCTTCCCTGTGGTGAAACAGTTTCTGTTTTAGATGATGAGCCCCTCAGCGCAGCGACTCTCTGCAGCTGCTGAACGAGCAGCCAGGTCTCAGCACACCGCAGCGCCAGGCGGGTGAAGGACAGCAGCGCATACAGCCCCGAATCTCTGCAGCTGGAAAGGGCCTCGGGAGACTTCTGCCTCCTGCTCAAGGCAGGGTCTACAGCAAATGCTCACCAGCTTTCCAGGCTGTGGATGTGTGCCTGTACGATATGTTTGTGCGTGCACGTATCTACATACACAGACACTCCTACCTGTTCTCTGTAAATCCAGGGAACTTTACAATGCTGGGGAAGGACTAGCATACACAGGTTTGTGTCGTATCTGCAGCCACTCTGATCCAGAACTGATGCACCTCCATTGCTTAGATCCTTTATTTGTCCAAGCCTCTAGGTTTCTCCTCCTGAATGATGTTCTCATGCTAGAAACCTGACCTAGACTCATCTGGGTGGCAGGGGCTGCACCACCCATGAGCTACAAAAGATTCTGCACTAGATATGGGGCGACAAAAGTGGGGTTTGTTCACACAAACCAAGCACACCCTTTCCTAACATGACCAGTGGGATCATTTTTGACAGGATCAAACAGATTCACATCACACTCGAACCGATTAAAAGGTTTTCTTTGGGCTAAATGAAGAGCCAGAGAGCTACTGCACTCAATATAGGCCATAGAATGCACTAAACTAGAAGCAGAATATTCCCTGTGTGCACGCAAACGGAGCCTCGAATTCAACCCAAGACCCCCACAACAGCTCAAGCAGGTTTAAGTGCAGGTTGCCAGGGTCCCTCCTGCCCCAGCCGTATGTTCCCACACCTTGCCTCGCACAACATTTCTCTCATCCACATTTTCAGCGTGTAAAGAAACAGATGTACCCAGAGGGCACTGCCTGTCTAAGCTGGGTGGGCTGCACCACCCTCGCAGTACCTGTCCTTCCCTGCTGCCTGCAGACCAGCACAAACCCATTCGCACCAGCATGAGATGAGTCCCACCCTCAGTGACTTACCAGCAGTCACATGAGAAATGTCCAAGAGCCAAGATTTACCAGGTTGCTCCTTAACCTGAGGCTTGAGATGGTTTGCTTTACCACAACCTTATGCTATAGGATTAGTGCAACTGGAGCTTTTTGAGGAGTTTTGGAAATGGTTAAAGAGTTACTGCAAACCAGAGGACGACACTGATACCAGCAGCAACATTAACTGTTAATACACTGGGCTGGAAGAATTAGCAGGCCAGTTAAGTCACGCTGTCACAACACATCGGTCACAGCCACAGGGATTAAATGCCAAGACTTACTTCTCTACTGTTCTCCTGTCATAAGTCTAAAATATATGGAACGAGCTTAGCCAGGAGATGAAGGGAGTCAATCTTCCACTGAATGCAAAGTAAGAGTAAATATATGATGTCAACATATACTGCAAACCAGCCAGCGCTCCACAAACGAAGGCAAGACCGATGACAGCTGAACAGCATCAGGGTTAAATCTGGGAACACAGAGAGAGGAGTTCACAGAAAACAAAGAGAAAAGCACTCCCAAAATAGCCTTGCAACTGTCACCACCAGCGACTGTCAGCACGGGAAGGTACGACCTTGCCGTTGTGTCTCCTGATCACAGCTCGACTCTTACGGGGGCATTTCTCAGAACCGGCACTACCAAAATTCCACTTCCAAGTGATCCTGGATCTCCAGCAGCACAGGGTACACTCACCAGGGATTCTGGGAACAACCACCAGCTCTTGCTGTTGCTCCTGCAAAAACACAGAGCTTCTGCGCCTTCCCGTCCCTCTTCTCAGCCCCGGATTTAGGGTCTCCATACGGCTACCATCTCCTGCACAGGCACTTCCGTACCACAAACCCCGTTTTCAAATCTTTATGCTTTAAATTCCTCATGAAAATCTAATCTGACACAATTGTATTAGAAACAGCAGAAAGAGGTAAATTCTGGTTTAAAGCAAGCAGGGGAAAAGAGAGGGAAATGAGATAAACAGCGTATTATTAATTTTATCATCTGATTAATTAACTATGTTGCTTCATTTCTTAACAGCAGTTGAGTCATACTTCTCGTGTAAGCAGGAAAAGAGATATGGATTATGTCAGATTTTTCCACCGAAAAAATCCCACAACAACTAGAAGTACTCAGCAGTATCCACGCCAGTCATCAAAAGAAACCAACAACAAATCTCTTGGAATGATTAGCACAACAAAAAACCCAGTAGAGCACACGGGAAGAGAGGAATACGTGCAAAGGCATAATTATTTCACGAAGGCAGCACTTTCAAGATGAAATAGCAGCACGAAATGTCAGGTAGAGAACTGCTTTGAACAGAAGCCACATTCTGAAACTCTCCACGCCTTCATATAAGCTCTGGGGACACCAACTTACTTAAAAGGAGGCAAATGTAAATATCCACTGCACTACGCTATAGCTGGCTTAGCTAAACGTCTGTGAAATTCTTTACAATTATCAGGACTTCTGTGTTAGCTATGCAGCCACGGTATTGCCAGTGACTGCTGCAGCACCACGCTTCACTTCACTGCCTGGTACACTATCTGCTTGCACCGAGGCAGCCCTCGGCATGCCAGAGCTTCCAGCTCTGCCTCTTCAGGGTAAGCAGGAACCGCCGCAGGTCAGCTGGACGCTCACCCTCTCCGTGTTACTGAAATGGGAAGGAAGCTAAATTGCCCTGCTTTTACTTCTGCTAGGACTGTAGGCACAGGCATGCAGGACTGCCAGCTTTCTGCTCCCCATTTAACATCTCTAACCAGCTAGCACTTTGGCAAACCTAGGGAGATCAGCAAGGACCACCGATACAAGTATTGCGCTCTGCCAAGAGCCACCAGGATCCACCCCTTACGCCAGCCCCTCCAGCCTCTATTACTTGTGCTCCCATGTGTCCAGCACCCTCCACGTAATCCACCCCTCCTTCAAACAGGACCCGAATCAGCAATTATCCGCTTCCACAGTGCTCCTCCGCTGCAGTCGGACTGGTTTGTCATCTGCATCCACAGACCAGAACACAGAGCTCTAAACCAGAGACAGGCCATGTGGGACTGACTTTAAAATCCAATCTAGATTATCATTTTGCTCCTTTCCTTTTCATCATCTTCATCCCCCTAATTCCAACATGATTTTTAATACTCATTATTTCAACAGCAGTTGGAGGCTAATACTTTGTACCATCTGAGAAGAGCCTGAAATGAGTCCAGTACTTGATCAACTGCCAACACTAAAAATAAAGTCTTTCTGTCACTAAAAAGCAGGGACTGCCAGTTTTCTAATGGTGCAGAGCAGCGTTAGCTTTTCAAGTCTCACCAGTTTAGTCATTCTGACCACTAAGTATGTAATTTCTCTCCCACTCAGCTAGTGCTCTCTGGCACTGGATCAAGATAGTGTATATAAAATCCTGCCCTTAAATTACTGAAATTTTAGTTCCTGCCTGAAATAACTCTACATTTCATAATTAGAAAGCCCATGAGGGTTTCACTCCTGTGTGCAACATGGAAATTTAGCTGCTGCAGGTTTGCTTAGCAAAGGAATGTTCTGCTAACAACCCCCTTGTTCTTCAGCTCTACAGGTGCTACAGCAGTGGTAATACTGTACCTATTTAACACAGTTCCTAAAGGCACTTTTACAATGCAAGCAAAATATATACGTGGTATCTGCCATCAGCTATATTACATAAACATATTCTAAATTTCTAAGATGCAACCTTCAATCAGCTTCAGCCAAACTAACATGGTCTTCTGCAGCCCAGAGCTGATGCTTGCCCCGTTCTCTTGAACGGCCACTGGAGGTTACAGAACAGTGTGGTAAGGCTAAACGAAGGCAAACCTTGTCAATAATGGGGGGGTGAACCCTACGTATCACTTTTCATCCCACTTCACGAGGTTACTCCACTCGCACCATACCTGCTAGAAGGGTGGGATGGGGTAGGACGGCATGCGTGCTCCAGCAAACACTCCTCTACGGGAAGAGTCTCTCTAGGTCTTCTCCTTACTGGTCAGAGACATGGAAAAACAGCTGCAAATGGTTTTAGCTCCAACTTGGCAGACTAAAGAGGAGATATATGTTACCTAACTATAGACCTCAAAGACAGACAGAGAAATCTCTGCTGGTCACTTTGGGCTTGCTTTAGTCTCAACCACAGCAGGATTTTGCAGCAGGCTCTGCTGGCTGAAGCCAGGGCTGCCTTGTCCTTCTGTCTCCCGCCCGGCCAGCAGACCCTCTCCCCCAGCAAGGGGCACTGACACTCATTTGATACCCCACTAAACAGATCCAGGAGCTCAACTGGCTCACAGTGGGACCAGACAAGCACTTACACTGGTATGAAAAGCATATGACAGGAGCAGCAGGAAGGGCAGGACTGAGAGTGTCTTAAGCTGTCGCATAACCATTCACTTGGACATCTTACTTATGTCGAGACAGACAGCTCACGCTGCATATTGCCCAGGGAAAAACTGGTTTTTTCAACAGAGAAAGCAACAAAGTCACGCCAGGGCTAGTATCGCTTTCACCGAAACCAGCTCTTCCTTACAGACGCCAAAGCTCGCGTAGGGGAAGCACCACAAGCTCCTGCAAACACCAAGAAGGGCCCATTTAGCACTAAGGAAGGGTGAAGACGATGAAAACAGCAGCTATACGCAGGAACACCTTAACACTACTGCAGATGAAAAGAAAGAGGAGACTCCTTTGGTGGACTCATGCAGAGTTCATTCAGCAGCGGAATATTCTGCCCTTGTTTTTTGTGCACATCACTGTCGTGCAGCCACATCAGGTTTTCTTTCAAGATCTGAATCTCACCTTTGTAGCCAGAAAAAAAAAAAAAAGTTGGTTTATAAAAAGAAAAACATACACTCAATAATTCTACTTATTCATTCTCATTGCCAGCCCTGCAGTGCTTGGGA